GGGGGGGGGGGGGGGGGGAGTGGAAAGGACAGGTTGCGAAAGGTGACAGTCGAGAAATTGTCTCGAACTTTTGCTTTCCTTTCCGCCCGGTCTTAACTTAGGAAGGCTACACCTTACCTACCTACCTACCTACCTACCTAGCCTATCAAAATACCTAGGGACGAATGCGATAATCAAAAGCTGAGGACGCAAATATTGTTTTTAAAATGTTTACAATTTCTTTGCAGACGTTCATACAAGAATGGGGCGAGGTATTCAACTTGGAGAGTCAAAATCAGCCTGATGAAAAATGACCTATTCAGTCGTACTGATCAATTCCAATATTTCCCAAGTCACGAAGTCTCCACCCTTTTGGGTATTGGGTACGCGTTTTTCACTAAGCTGATTTGGTCAGGATAATCAGACAAAAATGCTATTTGAATCCTCCGGTATAATTTTTTAAAAGACTGCAGCAACATATTGTAAGACGTAATTATTGACATCACAAGTTTGAAATTAAAATCGTCTTTTTATTCTCTCTTTTAAAAAAAAAATTAAATACTATTATTTCTTTTCTCAATATGGTATATCATAACGTATTTGTAAAAAGTGGGTCTTTTTGTACAATAAATTATGTACAGAATGTCACAAGTTCTATTAAATAAAAAAAACTATTTTTGATTATCTGTATTCGTCAATTTACTTTCGCTACCAAATATATTACTCTTGATATGACCTAAAATGATTTGTAATTATGGACTGTTATGGGTCAAATACCTCAAGTATTGCGGACCTAGAGCCCCTTCGGACGGATTTGAGAACGCTTACTAACCAGTGCCCGGTTCCTGGAAGGCCGATTAACGCTAATCCAGGATTAAAATTTTGTTCCCTTTTTGTTTTCACCGACCTATGCATTGCTTAGAGTAACATTTTGTGCTATCATTAATTTTCTGTATCTCGGAGTATAGGCTCGACAGTATTTTGTAAGCTCGAGTTAAATGTTCTTAAACGGGAAAACCTTGCTTACAATTTGGCTTAATCCTGGGTTAAACTTAACATCTTTCGAGGAACCGGGCCCAGAGACACGTAATATTTTTCAACAATAGGTTGTAGTTATGATAGAATAATTATAGCTTTACGATGGATTCATTCATCCGGCCAAATTGCCCTTTGCTTTATATGGTCCGCAATATTGTATTTGAAATCACGATATGAATGGATAACATAGTGATTCGAAACTGTAGGTTTGTCAAGGTTAAACGCGTGTTTCCGTCTCATTTTCAATGACTATGTTCGTGTCTGCCCTTACACCATCAGTGTGGGAGGAAATTTTGCGCAAAGATTTAACGACTACTGAGGATTTCCTTCGGCGGTTTAACTTCCGTTTCGATAGCGCCAGGCCATCTACGTCATCCATCAGTTGTTCCAGATAGACTTCGTCATGCGTTTCCATGGGAACCACGGAGATGTCACGCACTGCCCTGAACTGACCGCAGTTGTTGAGGTGCTCATTTTCGAGTCGGAAAAAATTCCAGATAAAACGTCTAAAAACAGGAAGAAAACAGTAAAAATGGGCAAACCTAGAATCAGTTAAGTATTAAAGAACACTCCCTGAAGCTATTGACGTAGCCGTAGGGGAGTCGTATTTCCTCCCTCTCCACAAACGCCTGTGTGGGAAGCTACTCCTGACGGCAAAGGGCTATGGAAACAGCTACACATTTTGGTTCATTTCTTTGCTGTCGCTGCACAACAAAGACGTTAAATTTTCTTATTTTGTGCTAACATGAATACAACAACCATTTTCATTTTTCATTTTCTCAACTTTGGAAAATTCGATAATATAATAGCGATGAAGTTTCAAACAGCGCGAATTAAAACTTTTAAGGAAGGTTTTCGCTCACTTGCCGTCATCATCAGTGCTCAAGCTTCCTTATAAATATACGGGGACTTCAACTGAAGTTCAAGGGGTTTTCTTTGAATACAACGGTTGCATGGACTGTTTCTGTCCCACAAAAATACTGGTATTAACATGCCACTGTTAAAGGCAAAAAAAAAAAGCCGCGTCAATGTTGCAATGTTGCAACGCTGTGTTGCGCTAAAAATCGTCGTTCGGAACCGTCCCGGGGTGAAGCCGCCGAACTATATTATAATTACTTTTTTCATCCAAGATATATCGATGATAATTAGACGAAAAGTACTGCATAGTCTCGTGGAATCCTTTGGTAAAACAACAGAGTTCTTGAGTCCTATACTTTTAAGTACAGTACTAACAATTGGTTTACCCCAAATCATAAGCTACTTACCTAAATACCTCACACATTGACAAAATCAGTTTAAGAAGTTCAGAGTGGAATATTTCCAGTTGTCCTACAGAAACCGTGAGCGTCCATAACAGTCTGAATATTAAATCTTCCACCATGGCAAAGTAGTAAAATGCCTGCAAGAAAAAACAAAGAAACGTAGAAACCTTAAACGGTGTGGCAGACGGTGTAATAAATAAGGGACAAGCACGTAAAGCAGACAAGTACAATTGGCAAGTGATCGCATCACCGGCTTCATCGAAGCTGGAAATACATGGCATCGCGCGTTTTCCGATTGGTTGAGAATGAGTCATGTGTCATGGGTCAATACAATCTTAGGGCCTGTTTATACGAGGTGAGCCACACCCGGGCTGGATCGGCTCATCCATTGCTCGCTTTTCGAGATTCCGGTTGCTCAAGCCGAAAAATCGGCAAGCGGGCAAGCCCGCCTTCAACACAACGAAAATTTCAAAAGAAAACATGGCATGAGCCGAGCCAGCCCGGCTTTATGCGGTAAAGAACTTAACGTTAGCGAGGAATTTACCTGTAAATGACGAATTCACAGCTTCGTATAATTAATTAACACAAATATTTCTCCCAAAGCGTTATCAAACATTACACGCGACAAAAATAAATCGCTCTGAAAAACTGTTAAGGCTAACAAGTTTTCAAAAACCCCAATTTAATCAGTTTAAATTGCCTTCATGTTTGTAGCATGCGAATACAGCCGTTTTTCCTAGCTCCTTGCAGCCAGGGACGTTTCGCCAGGCGAAACGTCCTTAGCGGTGAGCAGCAAGAGAAACGGGTGTATTTTAGGCTCTCATGTTTGTCCATCCGTGCCTTCTATTATATTTGTTGTGTTAGTTATACCTTCTTTTAATGCTTTGAGCTGCTATTTTGCTGTTTCACTCAGTTTGGTGACAACTAGCTCTTACTGTTTGAATTTTTGATAAATGTCCTCGCACAACTCCTTCAAATACTCACGGCCACAATCACAACCAAACCCCCTCCTGGGTGGTGCATGAAAGCAGTCTCACCTTGGATCTGTACACCGTCTCCTCCCTTAGGAATCTATTTTCGCCTGTAGCGTTCTTGTCCAGAAGTCCCCAGTCCATCTTAATATCCCAGGTAAGAGTATAACATGTACTGATAAAAGCAGCGATAATCCAAGCCAAGAAGAAACGATCGCGTTGCACAGAATCAGATTTAGCTGAAGAAAACAAACAAAATGCTCTGTTGCCTAACCAAACGTTTTGTTTTGAAAGCGTACCGTAAACCTCCGAGGGATCAAGGGGCTTATATTTGGAGGGGGCTTCAAAAGCACTTTCTCGGATAATTTTCTCCTTTCTTTTTACAACATCTAATCATCAATTTGCCAACAAGAAGAATTAAAGCGAATTTGCTATTTAAGCTTTCATCTCTGAAATAAAATTTCCTACTAACCCTGGATTTTCTTAACCCAACTTTGAACAACCCAGCCCCGATGGCTATTAACTGGAACAAGCGTGGGCAACAAATCCTGCTCACCCCGGCTAGCGGTCTAGCCTCCCACGCAGGCGTTTTTAGGGGAGCTCATTTTTCATCCCTCCCCACAAATGCCTGCTCAGCCGAGAACAACATTCCTTTTCCAAGCTTAGTCCATCACATTGTACTTTCCAAATTCTGGAAAGTTCACCTTGACCGCGGGGTAATCTGATAATTACTCGATCTGCATGAAACACTGGGAAAGCTTTCTGACCTCTGGTAAATGCTAGATTAAGAGCGGCAAAAGTAAGATTTAGTCTAATTTTAGAACCTTAGCGAAGGAAAGAAAAGACGGAAAACGGTAACTCTAAGGTAACGTTTTAGTCGTGTTTAGTCTTTCAACACTTTATTTTAAAACTGTTGATTGGTCACTTACCACGCAAATAAAACAGTGGGAAAGGAATGTTGTTTTCGGTTGAGCAGGCGTTTGTGGGAAGGGATGAAAAACGAGCTCCCCTAAAAACGCCTGCGTGGGAGGCTACCAGCGGTCAGGACGGGACTTGAACTCGAGGTCTCCGGATTACAAGTACACCGCTCTAACCGCTCGGCCACGCTGGCTTCATAACAGCTGTTCCATAACAGCCTGCACGGGGATCCCATGAAATATTGGCGTTTCCCTTTCCTATTTTACCGTCAAATGCTAGCAAAATTTTAACTAAAGTGGATGAGAAGAAGTTAATTTCGATACAGTAAACACTCTGGGTTTCATAACGGAATTGCTTGAGAGATAAAAAACGCCATTGATAACAGCAAGAGGGAAGAATGTGCGAGCGTAAAAAAAGGCGGAACAAAAACATCACATGCAGCCGGTAATTCACTACTCCCCCTCTGTGAAACGCCAACTTCTGTATCAATGAATTCTTACCTAGAGTGGAAAATACAACCACAAAGAAAGCTGTAGAATATTTGCCAGCGTTTACTAGATGAGGAAAAGCTTGTCTTGTGTCCTTGTAACGCCTTAAACACTGAGCAAACCTAAACCAGGCAGGAAGGCAGGCTACAAAAGGTCGAATACCGTACAATGTACCATCACAGATCATTTCACTAGCTGCAAAGGAAAAACAACAACATGGTGCTATCAGGTCGACTTCAAGTTTTATCTTGTTAAGATAGAGCAGTAACCACGAAGCAACGACAACGTCAAAAAATTGTTTAAATCTGCGCTATCAACAAAATGAACACATTTCAAGTTGATTTAAACAAAATAAATTAGTTACACTGCAAATGCGCGAGTAGAACATTTGTTGTGAGAGACAATTTCTTGACAAAGCTACAAGTGGTTTAACTGATTTTTTAATACCATCTCAACCCTCACAAGAATGTTGTGAGAATACGTTGTGAACACCTTGACAGTCAACATTTTTTACGGCAAAGGCGTGGTGGCAAGGATGCGTTGTAACTCAGCTTGAAAAGGAAGGGAAGATTGCGAACTGAAATAACTATATGGACATAAGAATCGTGTTATTACTCGCTTTACCTGCAAATATTACGGTCATAAACACGCAAAAGGAAACAGATGATAAACTGCAGCTCAAGTAACGCTACTGTTAAGCTACTGAGTTGATCAGCCAATCAGAAATCAAAATATCCTAAACTTACGATTATTCACGTGCCAGTCATGTGCATAGAAACAGATGATAAACTGTAGATCCAGCAAGGCTACTGCTAAGCTATTGAGTTGATCAGCCAACCAGAAATCAGCAAATCCTACATGTTGAAAGGGAGCCGTGAAGATACGAAACTGAAAAATAAAAAATACGAACACAGAGCATGTTTTAAGCCGTTGTAAGGGAACCAGAATATCCACGAATTGCAGAACTATATCAACTAGATTTTCAGTCTGTAAGACAGTTTTAGACGGTGTCTGAAGTCATCTTCAGTTACAACCACGTATTACCATGGACACTACACCACACACACAACATGTATACTAGCAGTTTCTGATCCCTTCTGGACTCGTTGTAATTTATTTGAGTAGGTTGAGAATCACTTTCCATTTGGATGCACATAGACGCTCACATGAACAGTGTTGCATGTGTAAAACTGATCATGACATTACAAAAATGTAAGAAAAACGACAGACATGTTTGATTCCAGTGAGGCTAATGAAAAACATGGAGGTAGGGCATATTCGCAAGCTACATAAGCAGTAAAGTACACTTACCAAAACTCTTAGAAGCCAAACGCGTGCTCTGTAATAACATATCTTGAAAGGATTAACAGTGAACAGGAATAGGAAAGACACCAACACCAAATTTGGAGAGTATGATCCTATACCTATCACGTGACTAAACATAAACACTACTAAACTGAAGGCCCACAGCACAGCCAGTAACAAGGCAACCTGAGATAAAAAATGAAATGGGTAGAAGTAGTTAGTATCTGTTTAACCCTTTAAGCCACAGCACCCACCTACAAATTCTCCAAACTGATCTCCATACATTTTCTTAAAGAATTGGCTGAGAGAATTGATAATAGATCAAGGCACTTTCTCTTGGTTGATCATTTTATTAATTCTCATAACTTATCTCTTGACAGTGTATGGATGTTGTAAGAAGAAAATTGATCTTGGACACGACCGGGACTTAAAGGTTTAATAGTACATAAGATCATTATCATTAAGATTAACTATCTATGGCAGTGCTTTGAAAGTGCACGTGAGCGGAACCTTACTGTGTGTCTTGGAAAATCTGATAACCAAAAAAATTTTGGTTGTTACTCCATTGTAGGTCTGTGCTTCCAGACGCTAGCTCTTTGCGTGCTGTCCGCGGTTTCCTAAGATCCAACAACGCGGCGGCAACGAGAACGTCGCTTAAAAGGTGAATTTGCGTTCTTTTAGTCTTAACAGCAATTACTCCTACCTACTTACTTTGTCAAATATAGGCGAACCCTCCTGAGGCTGAATTTCAAGTGACCATATTCAAGCTCAGAAAGAGAAGGAAAATTTCATCGTTGCTTGTTTACGTCCTCCTTAAAACGCGAAATTAGGCATTTTCATGTCGAAGTCGTGCAAAAACAGGAAGGAAATGTACAAAAAAAGCGTGATGCAAGTGCAAAGTTGTTGTTTTGCTTATTAAACCTTTTGTTTTTTTTGACGTTCTCGTTGCCGTCAGTGTCGTTGGATCTTAAAGTCCCTCATAGCCTGACCAACGTCGCTATGTAAAACGATATCGTTTGCCTTTTGTCGTTTTGTGCTTTGCTAGTGTCTTTCCAGGTCCCACGTTTCTTTTAGTAAAAATGTCGAATGGTAAGCCCGTTCGAGTTCGATCGTAAATGATCGGGTCTGCAGTAAAGTTGATGCCCCAAAATCCTTTTGATGAGCAGAATTGATTTCACAGTTCTTCTATTATTTGAATTCCTCAAAAAACATCACTTGCCCGTCGGGCAAGTTAAAAACAGAATTCACTAGTCCGATAGCAAAGCCCCGGGCTATTGGACAATACTTTCTTTGCACGCTGAAGGTCAGAGAACAAGATTGTTGAATTTGCCTCCTGTAAGACAAAAGCGATGAAAAATTCTGCACAACTAATACATTGAGCCACCTTAAATCAAGGTAAGTTTTTTATCGAGCCAGCTACAAAGGAAAATGACATGTTGCTTTGACACGCAACTGAATGTTACTTTTTGTGGACTGCAATGTCGAACCAACTGGTTTTGGCCTAAATATAATGCAATAACTAGCTAAAAAGTTCAACCTAGTTCCGGGTTTCAATTTTTGTTAATTTACCTCTAGTAACTGTTGGTAACTGAGATGATCACGTGGATCAAGTTCAAATATGAGCACGTGATTGACACCTGCTTTCCGCCAGCCGTACGTGTTAAGAGCTAAAAGAAACGTGACCAGCACGAAAAGGAAAATACCACGGTAAATACGAATAGCGATATCAAACTCGCCACTGTGATCTGTAAAGAAAGCTGGAAGATAAAACAAAGTAATCGTCCGTAAGCAACGCGATTTACGTATTAGTCTCTCAAGCAACTGTTGCCGAAATTCTTGAGCTAAGGAAGAATCTCTTCAATAGTAAATTAAATAGCTTAGTTCTACAGATTATGGAAATTGAGGACGTAGTAAGTTTCTTAAATAAAATAAACGAGGACTAGATTCCTATATTGATGAAAGATGGAAAATAACAAGATATTCCTCACAAACCAAAAATGAAAAAATATATTCACATGAAAAATAACAAAGACTGAAGTAGAAAAAAAGAAAAATGAAGAAAAATGCAGAACTGGGAAACGATGTAGCTCCCAATTATTGTGCAGCTTACTTAATTAAGTTGAAAATGTGTGAATTTATGACAGTGTTTGTTGCTACATGTATAGCAGGTCCACATCAGCTTTCAAGCTGCCCTACTTCTATACACCCTCCTTTGTTAACAGAAAACAATGATGAGGATCACAACCTACCGGCAACTGTGGCTATTGAAACCAGCATGACAAAAAGTCCAGCGTAAAATCCAGCTCTACATGACACCCAGTCTCCTCGCTGTCAACAACAACAACAACAACAAGTTCATAATAAGTAGAATTAATATGTGTGGAGAGAAGAACTCAGAAAAAAATTCTGAGTTCTAGATAGGAATTGGACTCATGACCTTCCAGACACTAGTGGGATGCTCTAACCACTGAGTTTCTAAGAACTCTCGTGATCTAGTGATGAGCAGGTCATTTGTGGGCTGGCATAAAGACTGCATCTCACAGTCACATATGTCAAATTAACACAAATAAATTCAGTGAGTTTTTTAAACTTACTTGTTCTTCTTGAAGTGGAGGAACTCGTAATCTATTCATGGCTTTTGAGCGGTTCCCACCCTCAAGTTCTGTGATGTACAAATCCTAAAAATTTGAAGACGAAAGAATTATCAATAAAAAATCACAGACAAACTAAGGAAAAGATCAAGATTGGGCAAGCAATAACTTAATAGAGATCACTAAAGGTTACCAGAACTTGGATAAGGGTGCACTGAGCATAATTCAATAAATATAGCCAAGGCAAAAGCGAAGCCCTTACGGGGTTCTTTAAAGTGCCCATCACCTAAAATTTATTATTTTCTTATCTGAAACTACACCTTATTAAAATAACTTCTGCGAAAAAATTTTGCGATTTGAACCAAAGACGATTTTTTTATAATTTTTTAAAAACGTTCAAATTTGCCGCCATTTTTGCACACCATTCGTCTTAGTCTTCTCTCGGAGTATGGCGTTATATGACGTACTTTAAGGAACACGTGACCTTATCGACAGGAAAACATTAAGAGTTCTGATCGGTTTTTCTTTTTCAGAAAAACTTTCTTCTTGCGAAGACATTGTGATTCAATCCTTACTTGTAATTTATCTTTTTTGTGTACCGCTGGGTAATGCGAGTTCCTTAATTTACGTCACATGACATCATATGTGAGCCTGCTAGTTTGCATGATCAGCGGCGCGGGTGTACCGCAAAAATGTAGACTTCAAAAATTGGTAAAAAAATCGCGTTTTGTTGACACCGCAAAATTTTTTCGCAGAAGTTATTTTAATAAGGTATAGTTTCAGATAAGAAAATATAAAAGTTTAGGTGATGGGCACTTTAAGAAAGTCTTTCTACTAAAAAAGAACTTTCTACTTAACAAGAGACAAACTGAAGTCCTTCTAAAAAAATGGACCTGAGTGTCCAATCATTATTATTGAAAACAACTAACTGCTCAGTGGAATAACTAAAAAACATCATCTCGATAAACTGTACACTTGAGCCTGCAACACAGTCATGTCATGCTGGTCAGTGGGTACCCTGTTTTGAAAACTGTCAATTGACAACAACATGGAAGTAAGGGTGACATTTACATTTGCTTCCATGACAGGGTGAATATTAGGATATACATACAGACAGGCGTAAGTGTTGTAGTTAATTTTTTATCTGAAGTTATTCTTCTTTTTCTTTTGCTTCAACTTCATTAGCATACATAATTTACTATACCCAGAAACCAAAAAAAAAACAAAAATTACCTGAGATAAAAAATTGACTACAACATATGCATTGACAGACGATATCACACAACCAAAATTCCTTGGATGCATAGATAACCAAATTTTAATACACATGGTTCTCTGCAACACACTTCAAGTTCAAGAGCTCTGCTATCAATGTTATAAAATCTAGAAAAATCACCATCTCTGGTAATAGTTCAATAATTGAATTATTGAACTATTGGATGGATACAAGACTGTGGAGCATAAAGCTTGGGTTGATTCTCAGCCTGACTAACACTTCAAGGGGCTTTAAATAACTGAGAAGAAAGTAATGCCTTTATTCTTTCTAACAACTAGAAATGGTGTTACCAGTGAGATGTACTTTCTAGTCTTTTGGATAAGGATGAGAAACAACGATAGCTTCTAATACACTTCTCACTGTGTGAGAAGTAAAGAACTACTAGAGGAGAGGATGATATTATTATTTACATTGATCAACATTTACATTTACAAGATTCAACACACCTCAGTGTCTAGAATGAGTTCACCAACATGTTTATTAGTGAAAAAATCGGCTGTTTCTATCATCTCTTGCCTGTATTGAGCACCATTCGTTGTCTCAAGTACCTGCAAGTTTATGTTTACATGTAGATCAGAAAAGTGTTAAATGAAAGGTGTATGTAGATGGGTCTTATTTGCTTGATGTTATAGTGTGACTACTCAAACTGGTTACTTGTAAAAAGATTACCCAATCACGTTTTTTGAAAACAAAAGATTCTCAAGTTTTTTTTCTTCTTTTGCAAACAGACCAGAAAAATTCAGGTTCAACTATGAAAACTTTTTAAAAAACCATTTGAACTTCCCTGACCACTCAGGAAACAGCCCTCAAATTAATGAATGGTATTGGTCCATTTGTGAAAAAATCTTGAGAATTTTTTGTTTTCAAAAAAAGCTGTGATTGAATAATCTTCTTCCAAGTGCCCTGTTTTGAGAAGTCACACTGTAACAGTAAAATCTAGTCAATCAACATTTTTAAACAACAACTAAGCCAACACAATGTAACTGTTACATGTATTTACATTTGATTGTATAAAGTAGTACACTGTAAGTAGGGTTCCATGAATCAATATTCCTGATGCACTTGAACATCAATACCATAATTATTATTTTATTAAATTAAACCATTTTGAATGAATGGCTACAATGATGGCTTTCCCTATAAAAGTTCCTTGTTCTTACAGTACACTGCATATGGCAAAAAATTGGGATTCACTAAAATTTTCTATACCTTATCATGTTTCTTGAGAATTTTTCTAAATCCAGTAAAGTTAAGTTGCTGAAACAAAAATTAAAAAAAATAAATGAATGCAAAGGAATGCAAAGGCCTACACTAGCCAACAAGTGAGTTCTCATTTGGGCTCCCATCACAATAATTCAACTAAAGTAAAATTTCATGACTGCAGGAAACTTTAAATCAACATTTTACATGTATGCTTCTGAACTATATCCCTGGTGTCATTTATCCCAACCTCTGTCACAAAAATTTATCAAAATACAATCATACATTGGTTCATAAAACAAAAATTTTAATGCCAAATTAAATTAAGACATTATACATAATTTTTGGATGACATGTAAGATAGGTTTCTAATCCCAACAGGTAGACGGCTCTACCAGTTGGTTTTTCTTAAGAAACATGGCTTAAAGGTCAGTTGAACTCCAGACTAAGGAAGACAGCTCTTGATGCAAATAACTCTAGAAGCGTATTTGGAAGAGTTGATAAATACACTGTATTGTAACTCCAGCTAGTGGTCAATGAGGATTTAGCCAGTGGGGAAATCGTATTGAAATCCAGCACCCTAAACCACGTACAAATAACAACAATACTAAAGAAAGCTATAGATGAGCTCCATGGTACATTAAGATGAAGGTACCTGATAATTCTGTAGAAGAACCAAGCTGAGATAAAACTCTCCAAATGCAAACTTTAGCTCAGAAGCTTTCTTCTTTGTCTTTGCCTTGACCTTGTCACTTGGTTTAGGTACCAGAGTCATCTTCTTTGAAGTGGCTAATGTGTTTAAACTAGGACCCACCTTGAGGGATCCAGCCACATACAGTTCATTTTTAAGAGTTGTAAACTTACGACCAGCCTCAGCAATTTTTTCTGTTGACAATGACCACAAAATAAAACTGAAACTTTTGGAACACACAACTGTAAACTTAGTGAGAGATGTTTGGTCATTTCCTGCTACTACGTGTACATGACATTGTATGTTGGTGTCCCTTAAGGGACAAAAATGGCTTCTTGCTCCAAACAAGTAAATCTGCTGGGTAGAACAGTTTTCTCTGTGTAACTCATATTATGAAAAATCGCATAGATCTGAGCCTAATACCAAGAATGTTTGGTTATTTACATTTTATCTTCTTTCCCAGATTCTAAACTTACTGATTGAATGATTTGGATTTGGATTTTTGATGACATACATTTGCTGTATTAGAGTGAAACCAGCAAAAATACTAATAAGCTGATCCTCATGTGAGACTGTATCCTTGACAGTGTATTTATTGTGCTTTATAATCAAGGCAACAAAATATGTCAGTAACATCATATCTCCTAGAAGATGAAACATTTTATAAAAGGATAATCACTTTCAACTGAGAAGTTTACTTCTTGTCTGAGACCTCTCTTATTTTCTATATAAATGGTAATAACATTGCTAGTACCATAATCTTATTTTTCTTTCTATATTTCCTTGTAAAATTGATCTGTACAGGGTTCGCAAATACGCCAAATTTGGCGTATTTTACGCCAAAATTGTTCAGATGACTCCACAGAGGTTACGGAGGGAGTCACTTTGACGCCAGAAATTTTCGGTAACAAACAGGGAGCCACTTCAACTCCAGAAATTTTCAGTAAAAAACACAGTTTTGTCCTTACCTTTTTCGCAACAAATAAAATTTACGTTAATTGTAAATGTTGTAAACCTTAATTAAATCATCAACATTAAAGAATTATACTGCACGACCGAATAGGAAGAGGGTAAATTATGATCAAAGCTTATTGGATGAGCTTTCCAGGTCAGCGGACCGCCACAGCTTCTTCGTGTATCCATCACAATAATGTATACATGAGAGGACTATGTGCTCGAAAGTCAGAAAATGGCGTTTTTCGTTGTGATACTCGACTCCAAATATTCCTAAATGACTCCAAAATTTGTGAAGCAGAAGTCACAGTGACTCCACTCATCAATAAAATTTGCAAACCCTGTCTGTACAACATACATTATGTCTGGGCGAGAAAGGAGAGTCGCCTAAAACTTTTTTGCTTGATGAGATTCCCCATAAAAAGAAAAGCCTTGGCTTCTTACAGAATGTGGGATACTTCAACTGTGGCAGAAAATTGAAATGTACCTGCAAAGAATGTATTTATTTTTTCTAGTTCCTCATTACAGTAGCTAAACCACTGCTCCTCAAACTTGGAGAAATAACTCTGCACAACTGAGTCAGGGTTTTCTGTGAAAAAAAAAAGAACAGTGACTCAATGTCGGGCGTTAATTCACTTCATAATTCATTATTAAGGCAAAGTTAATAAGGTGAGACAAGGTGAGAGAACTAACATGTCGAACTTCCAACGTAATCTCATCAGCCTTAATTTCGGCAGGGCTTTAATAACTGCAGGTCAAAAACTTCATTCTCAAGCCTGCCTACCAGTTTTGTACACCTGGCAGAACAATTTTTTCGCTGGTTACTCTTAAGCTCTCTTTTCCTTTTGGTGGGCTTGTAATTTGCTCAAGTGTCTTTTCCTGTCTTTAATTTTCTTTCCAGTGACTGCTGTTCAGTGTATCAGTGCCACTACAGTGTAGGTACATAATAGCCAGTGATAATTTTTTTAATTACAGAGTATTACACATGTATTAGGGCCATTTATACCAGGAAAAATATGACGAGTCTTAAATAAGATGTGTCTTAAATAAGACGAGAGCTGTACCATTTTTATGAGCATGTCTTATCTAAGATGAGAACAGCTCATATAAATGGTTTGCGTTTTATTTCTGTTCTTGACTCGTTTTCATGTGAATATTGCCCGTAGCAACAGCAATCCAACATGGCGCACCAAAAATTTACGCGTGAGTACTATGCGTCTTATGTAAGACACAAAGGTCATTTAGATGAAGTTTTTCTCGTCTTAACTAAGACGCGTCTTATCTAAGAACAAGTGTTTAGGGCTGTTCTAAAATAAGATGCGGCTTAGCTAAGGCGCGTCTTATCTTAGATGACATGTGCTGTTTATATGGAAAGTTTACGTCTTATTTAAGACGCGTCTTATTTTTCTCTGTATAAATGGCCCTATTGTTTTCAGTCAGCTTAAGGAAATTCACAGGAGGAGTCACAAAATAGAAAATATAATCTTGAATTATTACATGGAGACCCTTGTTTCCACCTTGCAAGGAAAACAGGGTGCAAAGAATGTCAGTTTTACAGCCTACTATTCTGGCAAGCTGTAGCTAGCATGTACTAGCCCACAAGTCATTTTACCTAGCCCCAAAACCCTTTTTGATTAGAAGGATTGATTACAATCCTTCTGTTATTTGAATTTCCCCAAAAAAGAGTACTTGCCCATCCAGCAATTTAAGAACAAAAATCACTAGACTCGATAACAAAATCCACTAGCTCCGGGCTATTGGACACAACTTTCTTTGCACGCTGGGAAAAGTTCAAAAGTCTGAGACAGAAAGATTTACAAGTCCCACGTTTTCTAAATGCATGAACAACTACAGTGTAATTACACATCAATGTTAAGACACCTGGCTTTGGTCATGACAGATGTGTCTCTGAATCCTAGGCTAAATTTTACTTTATCAAGCATTTATGAACATTTCAAATGCTCATTAGACTGCCTAAAATTGACATTAAGTAATCAAAATAAATAGACACACATATTTTTATGCAGCCTTTATAAACTATATGCTTTATTACTGTTATCTATTATCCACTTGATTCACTTTCAATTCTTTTATTTTGTTTTTTCTTTTTTTTCTCTCCTTTAGTTTTTTTAGTTGTGTGTGTACTTGTTCTATAACTTACAAGAATTTGCTTTATTATTTGTTATTTAGTTGCTGTGTACATAAATATTCATAGGAACTATGGGCCAACAAGATAACATTTGTTTACTTGGCCTCTATATAGACACCAAAAATTATATTCTAACTAGTAATAGTACACGGAAACAGTACAAGGAAAAACATAGTATATCCATCTTAAAGTTTCAGAGGTTTCAGACACCCTCAGTAATCAACAGATATGTCATCAGATGGGTAAACAATCAGTAATGTTCTGATGTAAATTATACATTATTTTTGAGGAAATGATGTCAGAAATCTGGGTTGTCATTTCTTTGGAGATTAAGCTTTCACATATTCGACTCGGAAAAATTTTGCAGGTATACATTACTACGTATTTCTGTAAATGTTGCTCCCCGTCTAGACGAGGAGCAACATTGTGTACACAGGGTGTACAGGAGTACTTAAGCTTAATATGTACATGTATTTATATTAATTACATACACCTTTCATACTAAAGCCCCATGCACAAACAAAAAACTGAAGTTATTTCTTACCATCCTTTAATGGCATCTTGTCTAGGCCATCATACAACACTTCTTTGAGTTGCTGCGGTTTATAAAAAAAAAAAAGCAAAATCACATGATAATATTAAGCTTTAAGGTGCAGGGATATTACCGGCACGAGATTGTAGCAAGGCTAGGATAAAAACAATTTTCCTGAAACAGGAACTGCTAACTCTAAATTATATTTATAGACACAAATACAAAAGCTAAGACGGCACAAAGCCGAGCCCATAACAAAACTTTTACACTAGAATAAAGCTTGAAATACACAAGATTTTTGCGGTAGCTTCAAGCTTACCTCATATCGGATGTATTGACTCCGCCATTCTGGGGTTAAATGAGCACTCAGATGCTCTGTAAACTTCATATCTTACTAGGGAAGTTATCTCGAATTAAAAATAGTTCCTCTTATTCAGAAATTAACCTTGAAAATTTGGTACACATAACAGTAAATAAAGAAATCTGAAATATGGCGGGGAGGTTTCCGGAGGTTTTCCGATCCTGTCGTCTGTTGCTGTTCCTTACCAGGCCGAGAGAGAGAGGTCGAGGGAAACTGGGACGGAAAACATCAAAATAGCGGCGAAAGCTTGGCGAAAGCGGCAAATCAAAATTGTGATCAATAATCTCTTTGAGCTTTCCTTTTAATATGTCAACGTTAAAGTTTCTTTCTAACTGCCGGTATATTGCATCACCGTTTTCCAATTTAGAAGATCTATCTTGGAGGATACTTTTGAGGAATTTAGGTGTTCATCTGTGCTTTACACGTTCTGTAACAGCGGT